AAGCACTTTTTAACAAAAGTGTCAACTCGCATATTTAAGGTTCCTCCTAAATAATAATATTTTACCTTTTTATTTATAGACTCGGAAATATTATTAGTTAGGGCATATTTAAGATCACGGCCAGATGCAATCCATTTTTCACGATTGCTAAACCACTGATTTTCAAAATAATCAAGAGCCTTTTGATCATTTTTAACAATTGATCTGATTGTTTCAATATCTTTATCAATCCATTCAGATTTTATATTCCGACCGTAAGCAAGACAATTCATAATTTTTTGAATTTTTTCTTTATCGTCTTTTGTCATGTAAAATTCATTGAGTTTTTTTCTGACAGCTCTCATCACGTGAACAGCGCACCAATGCAATATTGCATTAGGAAAAGATAATTTAATTCCTTTTTCTTATACCATACCGAAAAGGGTCGCTAGAAAAGTGACTTTTGGCACCAAAATTATTTTTTAAAAAAAACTTATTTTTATTATTTAATCAATATTACAGTATTACATATTATTTTTTATATCAAATCCATACTATTTTTCAGAATGGAAGTTTTTGTAAACTTTTACAAAAATCAAATGGATCCATATCACTGGCATCGTACCTCCAGAAAATTAGTTGACATCGAATGGCTAAAGGAATCGGTTCAACAAATTAACTCTGGAATGAAGCTAAAGGATATTTGCAAAAAGGCCCGTTTAAATAATGGTACCTTTCGTGAAATATCCAAAACCATGTTCAAAAAGCTTGTCAGAGAAAATAATTTGGAATTAATTCCAAAAAGAGGAAGAAAACAAATAGAAATTAATCTTGATGCCTGCCAAGCTTATGCAAATTTGAAAGATTTAATGCCCGATGCAGGCATCAATAAAATTATTCAGAAAATGAAAACAGACCTTGTCAATATTGAGAAGAATCCAGAAGAATTTCAAAAAATTCAATCAGAAATTCAAAAAAATGGAGAAATAAATTATGAGTCTGGAAACTGGCTCGATGAAGTTGACCGCACAACTTTAGTTCCCGTTGTGACTCCAATAGAAGGTACGCCTATTGAAATAAATCCATTACGCGAATCTCTTCAAACGGCAACATACATTACAAAAAATTTCGATTCTCTCTCATATAGAATAGGCAGGAAAATACACGAAGCGATTATCGCAGATACTCCCCCTCAAAATCAAGAAAATCAGCAAAAATAAATTCCTCGAAATTATCTAGCATCCAAATGTCATCAAATTTGGCATGCTGATATCCACTATTGGAGGAAACGAATAGGCAAATATTTGTTTGCGATAATAGACGACAGATCGCGAAAAATCATAGATTTTAATTTATTTACCGAAAAAACAGCTCAAAATACAACTGCAGTTCTTAAAAGAGCATTAAGTACTCTACCTCAACCACCATACGCTATTTGGACCGATAACGGCCTTGAAAATAAAAGCTCATTTCATCAACTTTTGGTTGAACGTGGAATTGAGCATATTTTTATTCAACCGGGCAATCCACAGGCAAATGGTAAGATTGAGAGATGGTGGCCATACGTGGAAAGAAACTGCAAGTCAGAATCAGATCTTCCACGGGTCATCAGATTTTACAATAATATGCCCCATTCTTCTTTGCCTGTGAATCCTGAAACGAACGTTTACTTTACGCCGGATGAATTCGAGGCCAGTGAAGATGATGATCACTGGTATCGAAATCCAGAACAAGGATCATTCTGGATAGTCGACGGTCAATTAAAAACCTTAAGGAAAGCATTGACGAGTTCAGAAAATGAAAATCTCGAGCAAGTTCAATAAATTTTCAACAAATTCTCAAATCATTACGAATAAACACTTAATATTATCGTATTTACATCTTTTTAATACAACTATTTACTTACTGATGATTCATTGCAAATCATAGATTTGGATGATAAGTTATATAAGAAAAGTTTCCGAGCTTACCGCTTAAAACAATAGCCTACATCATATCTACGAATACCTCGGTACTCCGAGGCTACAGTTTTGCGCAGAAAGTTCAAAAAGTGACTTCGAATGCTAAGTTATCTAACAAAAGTTTCCGAGCTTACCGTTTAAAACAATAGCCTACATCATATCTACGAATACCTCGTTACTACGAGGTTCAGGTTAGTAAAAATCAATCTAAAAATATTTTTTATGTACGTTAATGTAATCTGAGAGTGAGAGGCATATAGTATGCCTATATACCTCTCACCCTTCAATTCCTACCAGAAAGTTCGAAAACTTGGTTGCAATCAGATGCAATTGCGACCAAGTTTTCGAACTTTCTCGAGGGAATAGGAGCCTACAAAGCACTGACTATGTATCAGTGCCTGGTAGGCTTCAATTCACTTTCGAAATGGGAGAAACTTTGCTTTCATAAGATAACATACGAACAAAGTTTCTCCCATTTAGAGTTTGAATTGAAGGATGCGAGGTATATAGGCATACTATATACCTCTCACCCTTCAATTCCTATGAAAACAGTTCTAAAATAAAAATAAAAAACAAACTTAAATTAACTCTTAAATTTTTTATATTTTAATTTCATATTGTAATAAACAGAAATTCATCAAAAGTGACAGCTCTCAATTTTTTGACATTTGTAAATTCTAAATTGAATGAGAAAAATGAAATAATACTAAGCATAATACAATATTCTAGATTTAATTATAATTAGGGAAAAGTTAGTTTTGAGAGTACTTTTCATAGGCATATAGAATGAAATCTTCTGAAAAATAATATCACATAAACTCATATTATTTTCTAATATATAACTATTTTATATAAAAATCAAATTCAATGATCTTAAAAGCGAAGGATAAACCTCAAAATTTACGAATATAATGAGTGGGAATAGGCGTAAAGCAAAAATTGATATTTCATATGGTTTTATGATAGATAAGCATTATATTCCCACTCATTATATTCGTAAATTTTGAGGTTTATCCTTCGCTTTTAAGATCATTGAATTTGATTTTATATAAAATAGTTATATATTAGAAAATAATATGAGTTTATGTGATATTATTTTTCAGAAGATTTTGTGTTCTTCTTCAAAATTTTATTTTTTTATTAAAAAGAATCTTTACAAAATATACATTTACTTTAATTAATATTTAAAAACGTGCTCTATCAAAAGTTCCAAAAATTCAATATTTTAGCTTTTCTGGGGTGTCACTTTTGATGAATTTCTGTTTACAACAATATTTTTAATAAAATTCCTTATATATTATAATTATTATATTAAAAACCCTTTCGAATTTTGGCGCGAAAAATAAGAGTAAGTGTCACTTTTTGTCACTTTTCTAGTGACCCTTTTCGGTACGGAACAGTCAAGCACTTTGAAATATTTTCTGCTGTATTTGGAAAGACGATAAAATAAAAAAGTGGAAATGAGTGAGTTTTTTCTAATTTTGTTGAAACCATATAAAATAACATTTTATTTTCATTAATGAATCCGTTGCATCAATAAAAAATTCCACAATTTTCTTACATAATTCTTTCAAATCAGCACTTGCATACAAATATATAAATTCTGTTGGTTTTTCATAGCTATCTATAACAAAATCAAATAAATCCAAATTATGGGCACTTTGAAATTGATCTGAATATAATTTGGCGCTGAAAAATTCGTTTTGATTTAAAAAATCTTTCTGAACCAAAGAAGAATTGACACTTTTCACTAAATTTGAATAATTTCTCTGAGAAAGACAGAAAAACTTTAGCATTTTTTCTTCCGAAGGTAATCCAAGTTTATCATAAATGTATTCTTGTGCCGTTAAAGGATCTCCTCCTTCTTGAAGATGCATTTGTAAAAATGTTCGATAAAAATAAGACGCTGTGTCATTTTTTGCTTTCTTTTCATTTTTACCAGCGTCACTTTTTTCCTCTTTTTCATTTTTTTCTGCATGATTATGTGTTTTGACATAGGCTGTCAGTTCATAATTTCCATCCTCCACAATAAAACTAAATCCCGCATTACATCCTGGAGCAGTGCAATTAAAATACAAATATTCGCCTCCAAGTCTAGGAGATTATTTTTTTGAGTATTTGTAACCGGCATTTGCTTCATTGCTAATACCAAACCCAAGGAAGTCTATAAAACTTATTGTTTGGTGCAATTGGTAATCCTCCATAATGACTGCTTTATAGAGAAATGAAGTGATTTTTTTGATTTTTTGCATGCTATTCAATTTTCAATATATAATAGGCCCGATTTTGAGATAAAAATTGGTCATTAATTGTTTTAAGAATGGTCATTAATTGTATTCATTAATGGCCTAATATTTATTTATCAAGATTTATTTCAATATGCTGTTAAAAAGTTTATTAATATACTAACATATAAATTTCAATTTAAGAACATTTGAAATATTTCAAATAGTTTTTCAAGAATTAATGAAGCAAAATATTCGAATTATTTTTTAAAAATAATATCAACACTTTGTTAGGAAAAAATATAGATAAATACCCAGATTTGCTTTACTTTTACCACCCCTTTAAGGCTGGAGAAAACACCTATCGTTCACTATTTTGTCACTTTTATTTTACGTACGTAAAATGGTTGAAGACTATCCTGGGCACCTAAGTCTCGCATTATTAGAAGCCCAATTAGAAAGTGGTGAATTTGCATATCAAAAGAGGTATCAAAAATATTATTTAAAGGTTGATCTCATTCAATTAGTGTTTGATTATTTTGAAGTTTGCTCAAATGTACATATTCCTCCAAACTTTTGTCGATTAGAAAGGCTTACTAACATAAAGAGAAGATCGCTCAACTATTATCATAGCAAATGGAAGGTAAATAGAAGTTACCGCCCAGGACAGAATTTTGGATTAGGAAGGAGACTTTTTACTAACGAACAAGAACAACAAATATCAGAATTATTACGAATGCAATATATAAATGTCGGAATAGCAATAAGAAGAAGGCATTTAAAAAGTATGTTGTGGGAATTTTATAAAAGTTTTGATCCAGAGGTTCGCGAGTTCATGGATGAACGGAGAATATCGTATCGATTCATAAATGACTTCACTAAGAGGAATAAGTTGTCATTCCGTATGATACGAAGCAAGAAAAGAGAAGAAGTCGACCAATCTCAAGTAGAATTGTTCATCACAGAAGTAAATAACATTATTGAATACCTTCCGTTAAACATGATCTTCAACATGGACAAGACTCCTGTAAATTTTGTTTTCTTACATGGAAAAGTTCTTGCCAATGTAGGAGATCGAGTTACAGCTCATCTACCTAATGATTTCAAACAATCCTTTACAGAAATCTGTACAATTTCGTTGGATTGTAAGTTATTTCCAACAATTTTCCTAGCAACAGGAAAAACTGACTTGTGCCACAGACAGTTTGATGGGATCGAAACGAGATATCCATACAAAATAATGCATTCTGGTGGTAACACGAGTACAGATGTAATGTTGGACTATCTTGAACTTCTTCATGATTGGGCAAATAAAGAACCTTGCGCTCTTCTTATAGATCAATATAGGTCTCACATAAAATCTCCTGTTGTTGCTAAAGCTTCCAAACTCAATATAGAGCTCATCTACGTTCCAAAGTCTGGTACTGACAAATACCAGCCTCTTGATAGGCGTGTATTCGGAGCTGTGAAGGCAAAGTATGCAATGAAAGTTGCTGATCGCATCTTTGAGAATTCGACTCCTATCTCCAAACCAGAAGCTGCTTCCTGCTTTATTCGAGCATGGAACACAGTCAGTTTAGCCACATTGATAACTGCTTGGCGCATTCCAGGTTCAAACCTAGAAAATTTCGATCAAGAAACTCTAGGAGCGCAAGCAGATGAAAGCGATGATGAAAATTCCTCTAGTGATGGTGAATTTGAGGAGGATGAAAAACCTTATTCCGATAATGAAGATGATGATGACGATTACCATCAATAAACAAATAATTATGCTTTGTTTAACGATTTTTTGATTTCGAGATTTGATCATTTTTTAAAAAAATCAAATTAGCAAAGCAACATATAAAATAATTAATAGCCTACTATTAAGCATTTTATATCTTCAATGATTGGCTATGCATAAAAAATCTCATAATATGAAAAACAAAAGTGAGTTATAATACGGTGTAAACAAGGTTATTTGCTTATAAAATGGATCTACATCAATTTTGTACTATGATTTATGTTAAATGATGTTTAAATACCAAATTTTTGATTTGATTTCAAGAAAACAAACTGGTATTTGGACGTTGCAATAATAAAAGAAACTTATTTGTGTATCTAGTTTGGATTCTTTATACTAAAACAATCTGGTATGCATTAGTAAGTTCTGCATGATCAAAAATTTGCTCAATAAAGAATAATACGGTTTCTATATTAGTGTAATAACTGCATGTACAATGAAGTTACATTTTCCTGAAAAGAAAGATTCTTTTGCCCTTGAAATATCCAAATTTTGTATTTAATGAGATAAAAATTCTTTAAATTTTAGTTATCATTTAATATCTTGCATTGCTAGGTTGTATTGGTAATAATGACTTGTTTGTATTTGTAAAATTCACAATGAGAAAGCTGATAAATTGATTTCACTGTTCCATTAAAAAAAGATAATCGTTTTTCTCAGAATTTTTAGACAAATAAAAATAAATAATGTTGTGCATGAAAAATAGCGTGACTTCACTTTTGACAAAAAGTGATACTATTTCTGATGGTTTTGTCATTTATTTGTCAGATTTATAAATGGATAATAATGCTGTAAATCAGATATTAATTAAAAATATTTAAGATTTATGTTCAAATTGAAAAGCAAAATGATATTTTTTTTTAATTGAAAAACGTTAATATCTGATATTTTGAAGTTTTTAATATTTGTTAGTATCTTAAATTATTGAATGCATACGTTTTTTATGTTCTCAATTTTAAAAAAATTGTGAAGAATTTAGTTTTTTGGAGATGGATGTTTAATATTTGTGAGTGAGAATGCAAGCAGGAGTTTGGTACTTTAAGGCTAGGTTGAGATAGATTTCCCATTATATTATCTGTGAATATATTGTTTGAAAATTCAAGATATAAAAAATATTATCAAAAAATTTTATATTTTTAAATACAATAGGGTGGAAGTATAGTACGATGAGATAGCAATGATATATTTTATAATGGGAGGTAATCTGAAGATAAGTAGCAAATTTTATGCGATTTTGATTGGGAGTTGGAGGGTGTGAGTACTATAGCATGTAATAGTATCTCACACCCTCCAATTCTTCCTATGGCGCCGAAAAATTTTTGGTGAAATGTCGTCGCATTTCACCAAAAATTTTCGGCGCCATATAGAGAACTATAGTCTGCGAGGTACTGATTCTATCTATGTACCTCGCAGACCATAGTTCTCAGCCAAAATGGCTAATAATTTGAGAGTCTATATGATAATGTAAAAGTTAAAACATTCAAGTATTTAAGTATTTCTTTAAAATATTAAGTTTTTTATTTTTCCAATAAAATTCTAATATCAAATATTTTTATTTAACGATTAATTTTATTTATATTTTTATAGTTTTTTTAAGAAAAAATATTGTTAGGGTTTTATGGATTTTCAATTAATATACAAGATAATTCATGAATGTATATATTTCCAAGTTTTTAAGGATGCAACACTTTACATTTGTAAACTGTCAAAAGTGAAGTCACGCTATTTTTCATGCATTACAAATAAAAATAAATGATATATATTATTTTAACTAGATGCATTGATTTACATGCATTTTTTTCATAAAATAAAGCATATTTTATAAAATTTTTCAATCTGTAAACTGTTCACAAAACCATTTTGCATGGTATAAAAAGGAATCTAAGAAAAAAGTATAAAAATTAATGAAGAATAAAAGTAATGTTTACAAGTAGTCAGCAAATATGGATAAAAAAATTTCAAGCTAAGTCGGATAATTTCAATGTTTCGTAATTATGTAATAATTACAATGCCTATAACATTGGTCTAAATCAAATCCAATTAAAAACCATAGATTTTGTAAAAAATGAGATTTAATGCAAATATTTTCGCCGTTATTCAAAGATTAAGAGTTGTGGTTTGGTGCCGAGGTTTATTTATGCTTGAAGTTTATTGTTGTTATAACATTTTTAGATGAAAGTTCTTTTTTGCGTAGATGCGATTTGAATTTTTTTGAGAACTTTGAGTTTTTTCGCGCCTATCATGAGCACTTTCAACAAAAATTGTTTGGAATTGCATACAAATGAGTTTGGCCTTAAAATTGTCGATAGTGTCTGCATAACTAGGGATATGCTCGATCAAATGAGGAGCAAAAAGGTCCAAAAAAGGGGCTTTTTGCAAGATTTTCACTCTCGAGCCTTTATATTTTAATATACCAGCACTGTATTTTATCAAATATTTAAGTGCCTTTATAGAAGCATATACTGTTCTACCATAAAAAATATAATAATCGTTTATCTCAGAAATTTTATGGGGGTGGTAAAAGTAAAGCAAAACTGGGTAATATTAAGTCGAAAATGCATCTGATACAAACCTTTAATTATATGTCTAATCAAAAGCCGCGAGCGAAGCGAGCGGGTTCGACCGTAAAATTTTCTTTCCTCTACCTATTCCCTAGAATTTCCTTCCCATCCACAGCCTTTCTCGCTTATTTTTATATTCTTCTCATCGTCTTCATCTTAAGAAATTATCCACGCACAACCATGAATTCATTCTTAAAAATGTTTTTTAAACGATTTTCTTATATTGTCTCTGCAACATGTGTGTCACTTTTTACGGGCGTATGTCACTTTTTGGTAAATTTTGTATCACTCGTTATTATTAGAATACTATACTATAGACAATTACAATCTTTGCTTAATTAGTACAATGAATTATATTGGTATATAATTCTATTCTAATAGCGTACACTCCTAATATATTTGAGCGTTTATTAGAAGATATAATACTACCCATCAATTCAAATTTTTGGGGCCCCATTTTTTAATGAAATATTAATCCCCAAAAGAATTTGAAGTGATTGGTATTCCAATATACTTCAAACATTTTTCTGAGCAAAGCTCAGAAAAAGTTTGAAGTATATTTATAATATAAAATAATTAAATATATTTTTGATTTATAACATATTCATTAAACCATTACTCTATTAATTTTTAAATTTACTTTTAATATTTTCAATAATTAAAAACTAAATTTCATTTCAAACCAAAACCAATCATATTTCAAATAAAGGCCAAACATATCTCAAATTTCGACCATGTTTGATCTCAAAATTAGACCACTCATTTATTCAAAATTCAAAATCTTTCAATTTCGATTTTTTCAATATATCACTTCATTTCTCAATAATGGAACAGGATTCAACTGTCTTTAACTTAACAGAGTTGTTAAAATTTGGAGTTAAACAAGAGATTCAGGGAAACTATGCATATGGAATGCGTGTTCGGTCTGAAAGATCAATTATAGAATATTTTTGCAAACATGCGGGATGCAAAGCACGGTTTACATTAAATTCTTGACCAAGGCAAATACTTACTCAAAAGCAAAACATTTAATGATCAGCATAATCATTCACAGCCTAATTCTGTTCAAAATCCTTACTCATCTTTTTTTTACAGAAAATATATGAAACATTATTTTCAAAACGGCGAAAATAGAGCAATTGCACAGCTTCAATGTTTTAAAGATTTAGATATTCCAATTAATCAAGCAACAATTCCACCAATGTACAGACAAAAGCCAGATGCTTTAGCTCGCTTCTCCCAGCGTGTTTCAGCTTTAAATCATCGATTTTCATCAGATGACATCACATCACTGGAAATTTTTGTTCAATCTATTAAGGATAATTCACCTGACGATTTAATGGAATTCATATCCGAAAATGACACTTTAATTTTTTATTACGCACCTTTTGAAGCAAAAGCAATAGCACATCAAATTGTCACTTTTCATATTGACAGCACATATAAATTACTCAGATCAAAATTACCATTTTATGCTTTAACTGGTAAGTACAAAGAAATGCATGGATTTCCATTTCTTTATTTCTTTGTACAACCAGACAAATCCGAAAATATCCAAATATGTCTTGTCAGATTTTTTGAATGGTGCCATTTGGAACCACAATATATTAGTATGGATTGCGCCCCTCAAATAGCAGAAGCAGTTGAAAATGGAATTCCGGCATGTCACATTTTATGGTGCGGGGTACATGTTTTAAGAGCAATTTTATCTCATACCGAAATGGCTCACCAAAAAGGTGATATTTTTTGGCGCCAATAATTTGATTTTTCTGATTCTTTCTATTTAGATATATTTATTTAATATTCATATTCCTTTATATTGCCTCATATTATTTCCCATTTTTAATCATATTATACAAATCTTTAATAATTTTTAATGTTTTGAGCTTCAAAATCTTGTTCTAACTATTTTCATTCATATATCCTAGAAAAAATTAAAAAGTTTTTTAGAAATAAAAATGTTTGTATGTAAAGTATTGAAAATATTCTAGATGAGAAGACATTCTCCAGAAGAGATTGATATTGATTGGCTTTGTGAAGCCATCACAAAATCAAATAATGGAGTTAAGTTAACTGATATTTGCGCGAAAGCTAAAATAAATCATGAAGGCAGAGTTATATATTCAAAAATTTCTGAAAACACATTTCGAAAAGCAGTAAAATTACGTGCGCCAATTCCTTATCATCCTCCAAAAGGAAGAAAACCAGAAGAAATCGATTTGGATGCTGCTCAAGCATTTTGTAATTTCAAAGATCAAATGCCGAATACTGGAATCAACAAAATAATACAGAAAATTCAAACTGACCTTACAAAAATTGAGAGTCACCCTCAAGAATTTCAGCAAATCAAAGAAAACTTCCAAAATGCAAACCTTTTTACTTCTGGTAACTGGCTTAAAGAAACTGATAGAATTT